AGAAGAAAAGACAAAAATGATAATTAACTGTACCTCTGGTATGCTTCCCATTGGCTAATCAGGGTGATATGCAAATTAACTGCCAACAAAGATGGTGGCTAGCAGCCACACAGCTGAAGCAAACATGAGGCTTGCTTGCACCAGTGAAGGAGGCAGCCAAGGTTCCCTGCTTGCTGCAGCCTGGGTCTGAGCCCGAAAGCAACAATGTTTCAATTATAGAAGCTAAACAAACCCCAGATACCTGCTTTCAGCTGGCTATGGCCTCAGAGCTGGGAGTGCCAGTCACAGCAACAATGTTTCAATTATAGAAGGTAAATAAATTTCAAAATAAAAAAAAGAAAAAAAGGAGTGGCTGGGAGCTTCAGTCGCTGGCCAGCCTGAAAATGGCCCTCAGCCCCTCACCCAGACTGGCCAGGCACCCCAGTGGGGACCCCCACCCTGAATAGGGTGTGGCCAGCTGCAAACAGCCATCAGTCCCTCACCCAGGCTGGCCAGGCACCCAAGCAGGACCCCCACCCTGATCTGGGACACCTTTCAGGGAAAACCTGCTGGCCCCCACCCATGCACCAGGCCTCTATCCTATATAGTAAAAGGGTAATATGCAAACTGACCCTAACAGTAGAAAGACTGGGAATGACTGGTCACTATGACACACACTGACCACCAGGGGGCAGACGCTCAATGCAAGAGCTTCCCTCTGGTGGTCAGTGTGCTCTCATATGGAGGAGCTCTGCTCAGCCACAAGCCAGTCTGATGGCGGCCAGTACAGTGGTGGTGGCGGGAGCCTCTCCTGCCTCCTCAGCAGTGCCACAAATGTCCGACTGCAGCTTAGGCCTGCTCCCCGCTGGCAAGTGGACATCCCCCGAGGGCTGCCGGGCTGCCAGAGGGATGTCTGATTGCCATCTTAGGCCCAATCCCCTGGGGAGCAGGCCTAAACCAGCAGGTGGTCATCCCCTGAGGGCTCCCAGACTGCGAGAGGGCACAGACTGGGCTGAGGCACCCCCCACCCCCAAGTGCACGAATTTTTGTGCACCGGGCCTCTAGTACTTATATAATACTAGAGGACTCATGAGCGAAATTCATGCACAGGGTGGGGGCGTCCCCTCAGCCCAGCCTGCACCCTCTCCAATCCAGGGGATCAGGCCTAAACTGGCAGTCAGACATCCCTCTCATAATCCTGAATGGCTGGCTCCTAATTGCTCACCTGCCTGGTCACCTCTAACTGCCTCCCCTGCTGGCTTGGCCACCCCCAACTGCCCATGGTGGTCTTGTCGCCCAATACAGCCTGCTTGTTCAGTCATTTGGTTGTCTCTTACTAACCCCCTTGCCTGCCTGGTCAAAGGCAGCCATCTTGTGAGGGTGTGAGGGTTAATTTGCATATTACCTCTTTATTATATAGGATATGTAAATAATTTATATGATTCATTTCATTGTGTATAATTTCTATCTCAAGCCTTTGGATAACTGGAGAAAGGGAGGCCCAGACATTTGACCCATGCTGTATGGATTACTCATCTGAGAGTCTAAAAGACAGGGTCAGCTTCATGGGCGTGTAACTTGAGCAGTCACCAGGGCCTACTCTTAGAAGAGCCTCATGCTTGGTTTATTGCTCTACTATTGTTGTCTTGAAAATTTTTAATTGTTGAACAAGGGGCCTTGCATTCTTATTTTCCCTCAGCCTCACATTGTTTAACCCATTCTGGCTAAAAAGAATCTTAATATATTAAGAGCCAAAGTCTTTCATGTCATCCAGGCCCTGAGTGTTCATTGCACTCTATTTCTATACTTCATGAACTCAACAGGAGAAGAAGAGCTGAGGACCACCAGAGTCAGAATTGTCAGTCAGTGGGAGGATCTGCCTATATTGTGGCCAATCATAGACTTCAGATGAACAAAACAAGCTTCTACTCAATAAGTGAGATTTCCAAGTACAGTGAAACCTGGTTAACGACTTTGGCTAGTGAGTGAGGTAATGCCACAGATGGGTAACTTGGAGCATGCCTTGGATTTAGCTGTCCTCATACTTGCGATAAATCTTGGCCTAGAATATGGGGAGTAGCTGGGCAAAGATAGGTATAAATAACTTCACATTAGGAATATTTTTATGACTTATAAAAAGTCCTTCAGTGCTTCTGTACTAAGCTAAATGAAAACCCGAACCCCTCCTGGAAGCCGCCTGCATGTGAAAAATGTTGCCCCAACTGCTGCTTCCAGGGTCGCAATTTTTATTGCCAGTAGGCGGCCCGATGGTGGGGAAATTCCTCGCAAAAGCCCACAGATGCCCATTTTAAAGCACATCGTGTACTATTTTTATCTTCTAGAAGCTGAAAGGCTGCTGGCATCTGTAAGTTACCATTTAAAAGATAATAATGATTATTATTATTTTGCTTCAAAATCAAATGATCCTAGAAGAACTTGTTTACTACTTGCCTTAATTAACTTATGCAAACTTAACAATTAACATGTAATTGTTAAGGTAATATTTCAATTTTAGGCTGACGATTTTCCTCATGAGCTCAGAATTTATTTACAACACAAATATTTAAACTTTCTGAGAACGTTATCCTTTTAAGATAAAAATTAAGTAATAACATAGTTTCTAGAAATCCCCATTAGTGATAAATGTGAAGCATTCATGTGCAATGGCACATTCAGGTCTAATGTGATTGGTGTCAGACTTGGGTTCAAGTCTCTGCTTTGCTATTTACTATGTGATCCCGGGTACATGACTTGATATTTCCAAATTCAGAACAGGATAACAACACTGAATGAATAAGGCTGCTGTGAGGATCCATTACGTAAGTGATGTAAGTGTTCAGCACAGTGACCGGGGCATGATAAACACTCCACAAATGCAGCTATCATCATTGATAAGATTTTTCCCTCCAGAATTTTAATAGATTAAGTAGTTACCTTATTGACAGGAATAATGTTTTTGACATTATAGTAGAAGCCAAAATAAACCATGTTGAAAACTCCATGACGTCCCAAAGTTGCTGTAAATCCTTTGTTGAGGCCCTGGAGTCCCAAACCTTCCGTCTTAATGATGTGTCTTGCGTAGCTCATAGTGGATGGCTGCTGCAGGAGAGAGGGGCAAAGCCAGAAAAGATCATCTTTGGGAATGTGAGATAGAATAAATTACTATATAGCTATCCTTCAAGCCAGAATTATTAGGGACTTCTTTCCCCAAACATGAACAATCAGGTCTAAATCCATGCTTTTAAAATTAGGAAACCCAAAAAGTAAACAAAATTGCATGTATAACAACAGGCCTTAAAGGGAAGATTGTTGGCAAAGAGAAACATCTTTGGTGGAATTAGTGAAACTAATGTCATGTAATAACTACCACCACTTTCAACATGTTAATAGTTGTATTCAATTCTGGATTATCCACACTAATGGAGGGGATTAGCTATATGGATATACTGTTAATCCATAACTGTGTATAATCCAAAAGGAATTTATATTTGTTTCCTGAATTCAGTGCATTTACCTTTCCATTTCTGTTTTTTAAGGCAAATGTTACATTGCCTCAACAGTTTAAATGGGTGCTAAGCTAGAGAGCAGGCCTGGCTAGATGATTGTTGACTCCCTCCAGAGGGCGGGCAATCAGCATGTGTATTACTTGCTGTGATAAATGACAAATCAGTGGTGTGGGGAGTACTGGGTTACCTCTAATTCACTCCTTTGCAGTCCTCTGATTGATTACCCAAGGTTGAAATACCTTGACTGCTGGAATCAGTCTACTGCTATTTCTGGAACACGCTAAAGAGCTCACTGTTCATTACAATACAATTCTAACAACTTATGTGGGTTTTTTTTTTTTTAAAAAAAGGTTGTTTCCTTTTTGGAAGTATAGTACAAAGGATATCTCTTCTTGTTAAATTTTCAATGGTAAATAGAAGAAATATTCAGTATTTATTTATTATTTTGCCCATAAGGCAAGCGGCTGGGCTGATATTTGTATGCTGTTTCACTGGAGCAGGTTGCTGGCGTGGTCCTGGAGTCCGATGTGCTTTCTGACTGAAGTGTTCTTATCATGTGCATTGGCAGAACAGAATAAAACAAACCCAATCAAGGCTTTTTATCTAACTTGTATCTATAGCTATGTCATTAACATGATGCATTAAATGAGCTTGTTTATATAGTAAATCCTATAGTTTTTACTCATAAATGTTTTTAAAACTCTAGCTATAATTCTACACTCAGCGCCATCTTTTCAGTTTAGAGTATTAATTAGAATAAATTAGATTGAGCTTCAGAAAATTCTTTTTGTAACATGAAACAAATCACATGAGAATGTATCTTAAATCAACAAAAGACATTTCATATAGGAGAACCAAAAATTCTCAGAAGGTTAGAGTTCACTCTGTTTTACAAAATGGGGCTTTTTTGTTTGTGTTCTGGCACATTTGACTATTAACCCAAATTGTTTATTTTGATTTTCAAAATGGACTTGAGGACAAGTTGAGCAGAAGTTCATTTCTGTTGGAGAGACTCTGGATGTGCTGAGCAAACTGCTCGCTTGCCCTGAGGACGGCGGCCTACAGGGCAGGGGAAAGGAGAGGTGGCACTTCCCCTGGGCAGGGCAGGAACAGGGCAGAAGTGAGGCCTCCTGGGCCAAGGCTGATCAATAGTGGTGCTCCCTGCATCCAGCCCAGGCTTTCCCTCCCTCCTCACACACTCTGAGGCCTTGAGGTTCAGGAAGATGAGAACTCATCTAGATTCTAGAGCAAAGGAGGAACCAACAGCTTTGAATGAAAGTGCAGATTAGCATAGCTTTCTCTAAGTGAAACAGATCTAAAGATGAGTCTATTGTTTAAAAGTCCTAGTGTGCTAAATTATCAGAATTAAAAGAGTAGACTTCTATTAGATCTTGGTGAAGGTGAACAAATATTCAAGTGACTTTTTCTGATGGTCTAGTGTCTGCTTTTCATTGCTTTGGGTGGTAAGTGGGTACAAGAAAGTATAGCACGTGGATTTTGAACTCAAGTGCCTTATTGAATTTGAACTCGTTATGAATCATTAAATAAATCAAAGGGTAGTATAGTAGCTAGAAATAGGGGGTCAGAGCCAGACAGCCCCAGGTCTGAGTCTTAGCAGTACCACTTGCTAGCTTAAGTGATTATTTCATCCTCTGATTTATCTTCACTTTACTCAATTATGAAATAAGGATAATAATACAATCTTCTTCACAGGATTGTTATGATAAGTAAGTCAATGAACTATGTCCTATGTAAGAATTTACTGTATGCTAGCTGTTAATAATAGCAATAATGCTTATAAAAAGTAGCTATAATAATTAAATAACAGATGGGAAATGACAATCAAAAGGTGGAGGCTGATTTGAGGGAGAGGAAGGACGTGGATAACTAGCTTCCTCCTTCTCATTCCTTCCTTTCCCTTTTCTAGAGCCCAGGACCCTCGTGACAAAGTCTAAAAGAAATGCATCCATAATGCAAATGATAGGTTGGCTTCCTCTGAGGCTCACCAAATCCAACCTCTGGGCTAGAGATCTCCTTCCATGGTTAGTTCCTTACCCTGGAAGCGTTCCTCTTGGGAGCAGTAGGTCCTGTAAATTGCCTCTTCCCTATCCCTCAGTAAGAATTATCAGTAAGAACTCTCATGTGATAAGGTTATGGCCTGTAGAAGGAAGGCCACATAAGAGCAAAGGCTGGGAATGGAAAAACACACTAATCAGGCCTTCACCTGTCACATTCATGTATGTTAGCAGGTATTTGGAACACAGTAAGTGCTCATCAATATTATCCATTTCATATATTCTTTGTACTTTACATAGCATCTTATTTAATCCTCTCAACAGGTGTGTGAGATAGGTATTATCATACCCCCATCTGACAGATGAGGAAACTAAGGTCAAGTTACTGGCCAAAGATCACTGAGTGAGTGGTAATGTCAAGTGCAAACTGCGCAACCCCCACAACTCCAAGTTTGTACTTTTATGCTCTGCTTAGATTTGCCATCGTAGCATGTATGATTTCTTCTTAAAAAACCCTGTAAGGTGGGAAGTAGGTATATTCTCCTAATTTTTCAGGTAAGAAGACCAAGGATTGTTAAGTAATATTCCTAAAGTGAAAATACTGGTAAATGGCTTAACCAGAATTCTGCTTCTAACCCAGTGCTGTTCACATTCTGTGGACTCATTCTTGTTATACATATGCAGTAAGATTTTCAGAATCTGATAATCCAACTCATACAGGTAATAGATACATAATAACACAAATACATTTTTCTGATAACTCAGGGCACTGAGATTAAGGAAAACCTGAACTGAAATTCCCATAAAAATTAGAAGTGTGTTTTTTGCTTCATTCAGTGACACTGCATCACACACATGTAAGCAAATATTTAATTAGAAAGGCAAAACGTGACTTCCACTAGGATGCTTAAATAGGAAAATAGAGAGTCATTTTGACTAGATCTCTGTAAACACAAGGAATTTTACTAAACTTATTTGATTACTGGGCTTCCATTTCAAAACCAAATGGTGACTGATTAGCAACATCAGCCAAATGATTCCAATACTATCCAGCCCAGCAGGTCACCCACAGTTTGGTTTCCTTCCAATATTTAGATTCACTCCAGTTTTCATATTTAGTTACCAAATGTGGGCCAAATGGCATTCTAACTTCCCTAGATGTACCTTTTATTGACTGGACCAGAGCCGCAAGTATGGGAGAACAGTGGATCGGAATGTAGCTGATATTGTCATACCACACACCTTTCCCTGCCAGAAGTATTTCCATTTGAAGGAACTCAAAGTCTTCTTTAACTTTGACCTCTGCTGTTGCCAAGTGTGAATTGGTGGGAACTCACTGTTTCTTCCTGCACCATTTATTTAACAATATCTATTGAGTACCTCCTAGTTGCCATGCACTGTGCTAAGTGTAGCACTCTGCCCATATCCTAGAAACATAAATGTTTTTGCTTTGGTTTTTATTTGGAGAGATATGCTGATAATTTTTGTAAGTACCATGAAAGACAACTAAAGCTGTGGGAATATTCCATAATAATTATGAAATATGGAATCAAATTTCCATTTTAAAAGTCCCTAAGTTGCTTACTGGAAAGAGAAGGCCCTTTGCCTGTACAGTGCTCCCAGGCACCACTCCAGGGCACCGATTCCTTACTCTCTGAGAGCCCAATATTACCAACAAATCACTGAGATGCCTTATGGCAGCCTAAGCTATTTTTCCTGGAGTTCCTCCATCCAACTACTGTCCATAGCTGGCTCTGATTAGCTTGTGAGATCACAGACAGAGGTTTCAGGTGGTGAGCGCTGTTCCCCGGGTAAACAGCTATCAGAGAATGGCCACTAGGTACAGGCGAGGGGTGCGTGTCAGTGGATTTCTCATTCCTTCCAGCCAGGGAAGAGCTCTCGGCACTCCAGGTGAAAACACAGCACGCTCCACATTTGTTCCTTTACTGCTTCCTAAGGCAAGGTGAATTTTGCTGCGTTTTAGAGCGAGTAGAATAAGGGTGTGGCACTGGATTTCATCACACGGTTGAAAAGCAAACTGTGAGACCTTTATACAGTGAAGTGAGTGTCCACATCAGGGGCCTCAGAGAAACACTGCTTTGGTAAGAAAGAGAAGACCCAACTGCTACATTAAGGTAGGAAAGTACCCATGCCCTTCAGGAGATAGATAATCACTTATGCTTTTCACTCCTCAAATGAAGTCTTGAAGCATTTCCATAAATTTGAAAAAAAAATTGAGAACAAAATGTAAGTGAGAGGAGAGGAATCAGGCTGAAAAATCCCACATTTACAATTTATTTTAGCTTAGATACATCACTAATTCATCATTACAGTTTACTTGAATAGGGCATGATTATGGACAAAAAGACACCCCAAGTATAATTATGTTGTATCTAGAGTTTTACAATTGATAAACAGATCCATTTTAGAACAATCTGTGAGTGGAGAATGATTTGCTATAAACAAACTCTCCCAGATGCTGAGCCACAAGCTACATTAACACCAGGTTGATGCCCAATAATGGTCCCTAGAGGAGCACGGGGCCCTCTGGGTGACCAGTGCTGACTCTGCCGGTCGG